GAATTTTCCATGGAGCATGTGGCACAGTTCGGAATAAACGCACACTCCTCTCTAGTTTAAATAGTGCTGTGTGGGCTCTGCCAGCGCTCTATCTCTCTCTCACTCTCTCGTGCATATTTGTGTGGCTTCCAGTGCCGCTGTGCCTTGCAGTGCTGCCTGCGAGCGCTTCCTGGAGCCCAACCAAATAAGGCCGATAGCATGTGAACGTATTAGCCAACACGTTATTCTGCAACAGGACACCTCATTCAAATTTCACTTCCAGGAAAAAGTTAACTGCATCCTATATGGTTATTATCTAGTCTGCTTTCTTTTCTATTTGCTCATTGTTTCTTTGCCACACATTGGCTCCGTTCCAAATCTGCACTGTCTACATAGGCAGCTGCCTTCTAAGGATTCTATCTGAAATGAAATCTCATAACTGACCGATTTGGAACGCTCTACATAGGCTCTAAATAGCACTCCTCACAGGAAGTGCACGGGATACTTGACTCACATTTGATTTCGCTACAAGTTGGTGTTAGCATGTGCGCTAAGCTCCATTTTTAATTAAATTGAACTATATTTAATGAGTATTCGTAGGGGGTGCACCGGGGGTTTTATTTTATTCTCAACATAACCACTAGATGGCACAAAAACTAATTTGATCTATTAATGTTATGGATTTATGTAGCAAACGAGAATCTATAAAATTGCAGAATATATCTCTTAGACAAACATCTGATGTTCAGTTTTGTTCCAGGAAATTAAATCAACAGTTTTTTAATAACCGAAGATATGTAAAAGTATGGTATTTGGGGATAAAATCGGCTCTGCTGTAAGGCACAATAATTGATGTGATTATTAAGAGATAGTTGATCGTTGACATGGTTTGATTTAGATTGTTAATATCAGTTATTAAATTGAATGGCCACCTAAGAGATAATCAGCATATTGATAATGATATAATTCGAATTATTTTATTTATTCTTACTACAGGAAAGCCATATTAAATTATTACTTTTACTCTTTAAAATATTTTTTCTGTATTTTTAAAATAAACATTTTAATGACCGTTTTAATTAATGACAGATTCATTGAAGAAAAAATATTTTTCTATTTATCAAAATAGTGTGTGCAGATCTCTTTTTTGTATTATTTGATGTATTTTTGTTTTTATCTTGCACCTGGCCAAGATGCTTTGGATGTGCGTACTTTGGCTTTTTTTTATTTATCAAAATTAAAAACTTCTGCAAACTTTGCTGAAGTGATTGTTTTAACAAGTATTAATGCAAAAATAATATTACTGGTGAGCCTTTTATCCCAAACGTGTCGCGGGATTTGAAAACAAAACAAACCACTTTAAAAGTGGCACTTTTACGATTTATTATCCCACCAAATGTGTTGCTCTATCAAGGTTCAGTAAAAACCGCAGTCATGCAGTACAGTAGTCGTGAAAAGAACATTCTCCTTAATGTGTGCCTTCCACCCTGTTGTACCCTAATCAGCATTTCTGTTTCGCTTCGCTTGAGCTCGTCGCAATGCATTCTGGGATTTCAACATCCATTAGGGATACATGTGATACTGCTTTAAACCTGTCGCACACCACATCGCAGACAACTCACAGGTATCACAAACCAAACGGGTCATTCTGTACTCGCACGCTCAAGTTAAAGGCAGTCGTCCAAGACAGTGAATCTAATCACCATACAGGCAAAAGTTCACTTCAACAATGAACAAAGTGGCTTCAATGCATTTAGTGTATAAAAAAACAGCACAAAGAGTTGAATTAGATTAGAAAGGGTGATGCATATTATATGACTGCCTATATACTTCATTCCAGGGAGTGTGCCTACAATGCCTTAAAATGCTAACTATGTAGGCAGCTCATTAGGTTTTGGAACAGAGCCGTTGCGATCTAACCCACAATCTGAAGGTTCAATTTGAAAATAATCGGTGGCGTTTCTCCGAACGTTGACACAGGATTATTAATATCCCGTAAATGCTTGCTGACTGGGGCTGGAGCTGTGCCAACTCTATTCATATTTGAAGCATTTATACAGCAGGCAGAGCCAAGAATAACATTTAATGCAAAATATACCTCAGGGCATAAAAGATCTCCTAATGTATTTTTCATTCAAGCTGTATACTCACATTTGATCTGGGAACTGAAAACGATTACATAATTAATGGCACAATAAGGACATTTAAAAGCACTTATTTGCTTATATAGGCCCGACTTTCAAGACACAGTGGGGTAGTATTTAGGTACACTGAGAAGCATTATTCAAAAGTGGTGTGTGGGGTGTGTGTGTGTGTGTGTGTGTGTGTGTCTGAGTAATGGAGGGAAGGAATGAGAATAACATTCTAGAACCAAAAGTACTGTAATGCTGACCTTGGTAGCTAAAAGGGAACATGAAACATTTTTTTTTTAAATGATTTGCCCAGCAAATTTGCGTAAATGATGTAAAGACGCTGCACACAGCTGCACAAATATTGATCAGGGGAGACGACACTATAGCCTATGATGTGGCAGCTGTGGCTTAGTGGTTAAATCAGTTCTGTAACTGAAAGATTGTGGATTCAAACCCATTAGAGGAGTGACGCATTGCCAATGCGCCCTTGAAAAAGGAGCTTAACCTCAGGTTACTCCAGAGAGACCGAACCTCTAATATATGTATTAATGACAAAGTAGTCATTTAGAGTGTAGTCTAGAATAATCTGGCAACAACATCTAAGTTCTTGAATAGCAAAGTAAAACCATGCCACCTCACATTTGACATGAGGTTCACATTAGACAACAATTGGATAACGAGTACTCCAGGCTACAACCATCGAACCTCATTTTTTTGTATAAATTACAAAAGACAAAACAAATTACACAAAACACAAAGCAAGAGGTATCCATGGACTGATGTGCAGAGCATAACCAACACACTTTTAATTCTTAGCGCACAGGATTGAATTATCATTTAGCTGGTTCTTTTATTGAAATTGGCTTAAACAGTGGCATCACTACTATGCGGGCGGAGCGGCTGCGAAGGGGCGTGCAGATCTGGGGTGCGCCGTGACAGTCGGAACCACGCCACAATATCTTTGGACATGCAAGCCACACTGTTAAATGACTGTGGTAACTGCCAGGTTTGGTAAATGTTGTGCCAGTTTTCTATTTGGAAATCTCTATACACAGATATAACATTTATGCATTTAGCAGACGCTAATTCAAAGCAACTTACAAAAAGATGCTAGTGATGTAAAGATGCTGCACACAGCTGCACAAATATTGATCAGGGGAGACGACACTATAGCCTATGATGTGGCAGCTGTGGCTTAGTGGTTAAATCAGTTCTGTAACTGAAAGATTGTGGATTCAAACCCATTAGAGGAGTGACGCATTGCCAATGCGCCCTTGAAAAAGGAGCTTAACCTCAGGTTACTCCAGAGAGACCGAACCTCTAATATATGTATTAATGACAAAGTAGTCATTTAGAGTGTAGTCTAGAATAATCTGGCAACAACATCTAAGTTCTTGAATAGCAAAGTAAAACCATGCCACCTCACATTTGACATGAGGTTCACATTAGACAACAATTGGATAACGAGTACTCCAGGCTACAACCATCGAACCTCATTTTTTTGTATAAATTACAAAAGACAAAACAAATTACACAAAACACAAAGCAAGAGGTATCCATGGACTGATGTGCAGAGCATAACCAACACACTTTTAATTCTTAGCGCACAGGATTGAATTATCATTTAGCTGGTTCTTTTATTGAAATTGGCTTAAACAGTGGCATCACTACTATGCGGGCGGAGCGGCTGCGAAGGGGCGTGCAGATCTGGGGTGCGCCGTGACAGTCGGAACCACGCCACAATATCTTTGGACATGCAAGCCACACTGTTAAATGACTGTGGTAACTGCCAGGTTTGGTAAATGTTGTGCCAGTTTTCTATTTGGAAATCTCTATACACAGATATAACATTTATGCATTTAGCAGACGCTAATTCAAAGCAACTTACAAAAAGATGCTAGAAATATCAAAATGATGCTAAAAATAAGTAAATGTTCTACATGTGACCCTGGCAATTTTTTGGAATTTTTTAAGGCTCAATTTTTTTAAATTGCGATTTATACATCATCTGAAAGCTGAATAAATGAGCTTTCCATTGATGTATCTGTTAAGGATAGGACAATATTTGAAAATCTGGAATCTGAGGGTGCAAAAAAAAAATCTAAATATTGAGAAAATCGCCTTTAAAGTTGTCTACATTAATTTCTTAGCGATGCATATTACGAATCAAAAATTATGTTTTGATATATTCATGGTAGGAAATTTACAAAATATCTTCATGGAACATGATCTTTACTTAATATCCTAATGATTTTTGGCATAAAAGAAAAATCAATAATTCTGAACCATACAATGTATGTTTGGCTATTGCTACAAATATACCCCAGCGACTTAAGACTGCTTTTGTGCTCCAGGGTCACAAATGACAAAAATTCTAAAACTTTTTCTTGCAAAATTATACTAAATAACTATTTAAGTGAGTTCTAATCTGCAAGTAAAGACTCGAATCAAAAATTAAGTTTTGATATATTTATGGTAGGAAATTTGCAAAATATCTTCATGGAACATGATCTCTACTTAATTTCCAAAAGATTTTTGGCATAAAATAAAAATTGATCATTTTGACCCATACAATGTATTGTTGGCTATTGCTACAAACAGGGCAGTCATATATATCAAATTACCCTATGCACTGTTGGTACTTTGTAGGGTAAAAAAAGGTGCCTTAAGAGGTTCGCTTGTAGTGAATAACAATGTTTTTATGTATGCCTATTTTTATTCTTTCATTCAGTCTGGGGGTGGCAGGGAGCCCGTCAAGTGTTTACGCACTGAGGCCCATTAAAGCACTGAGGTAAACTGAGCTCAGTGATGTCGAGGTTCGAACCTACAAGCTTTCAGTTAAACCATTATTACCCAATCCCACCCCCAAAACAGTGTTGAAACACTCACTCTCGGCAGGGTAGAAGGGCTGCATGTCTATCTTGTGCACTTCTTTGGCGTAGTACTCCTCCTCGCTGCGCTGTCTCTCGCAGGTGGCCGCTCGCTCGTTGGCTTTCTCCTGCAGCAGGTCCCGTGTGCTGTTATAGATGGCGATGATGTCCCGGGACACCTCCTCGGGCTCGGGGTAGATCTCCGGAGGACTGCTCAGCTTGAGTTTACTGAGGATCTGACCGCGGATGGCCTCGATCCGCTTCTTTTTGAACTGCTCCATGTCCAGAGTGCTGCATGTGGATAAACTGACGGCCACTGTGGCTAAATCCAAGGTCAGAAGGAGACTCAAGACGTACAAGTTCATTTTGTGCTTTTGTTTTTGAAGCTGAAGCGAGTTTGAAAATGCTAATTAATGAATTAAGTTACGCAGAAGCCCAATCATTTCGATGGCGAAGCCAAATGTAACTTTTTGCGCACGCTATTATCAATGGCAAACGTCTCTGTTTATTGTACCTGCAAATCCATCCGAGGTGCCAACGCGAAATGGTCTGTCAGATCCGTTATATGCGGGAGAGAAACTAAGATCTTCATTCCAAATCACTTCATAGCAAGTGCACAGAATCGCGGGGCACTAAAAGAGCCATTGATTTGGCCATCAAAAGTTTCTGCTTCGCAAAGCTCTCTTTTTGACAGATGCGTCGCCTGCGGGCTTTTTGCGCGCACCTCCAACGCATCAGATCGCCGCGAACTCTCTCCAAAGCGCCGCACGATCACGCCTCCCTCTCGCCCTCGCTGTATGAGAAGATGTGGAGGTCCAGGAAAAGCCTCTGCTCACTCCGCAAGGCGCATCGCCTCTCCTCCTCCTCGCGTTTGGCACCAGCAGATGCTGAAGAAAATAAAGCTGGACCTGTCTCACGCGTCCTAAACTTGCCTGACGAATACGGAGTGATGGGATAAACTACTGTAAGAGCAGGCAAAAGCGATTTCCTTTTCAGTTTACGCACTCCTCTGTTCCTTCTGGTGGAAAACAACGGTCCCTGTGCCAGCACACACATGCACATCTGAAGGCAGCCGGTTGGAGAGAGAGATTTATATAGGACTGACTTCACCACGTGGTTGTGGTCATCACAGTGAGTCCGAGGGATTCGTCAGCGCGCTGGTTTACCAAGCGCTTCGCAGCGCGTCGTTTCTCTTCAGCACTGCGGCCAGGTCCTAACGCCCACTGGGTCCTTCCACTCTGGCTCGACCGGACTAATTTGAACCTCCCCAAAAGAATGTCAGAGTAAACCACAAAACTAGCAAGAAACAGATTTCGAGGGGCCAGTGTCCTTACAGGTCAGTCACCTGCGCTAAAACGCTAGCGAGCATTTATAGTCCCAGGTGTATAGATCGACAAAACACTTTGTCAATTGGCAACAAGTATGTCATAAAAACTTTAGTATTTTGTTTAAAAAGTCAAGATAGCTGACGTTGGGGATGAACTGCAAATACTATGCACAAACAACATTAGAAATTAACTGGGTTATTTGAAAGTTTGTAAATCACACCTGAACTGAAATTAAAATTTAGTAAGATTTTAAGCACTATATCAGTCTAATAAAATAAGCGTTAATTCATTACACTATGGCTATTTTTATGTAAATGCCTTCAGAAAGCCATGTGAAAGTTGACAGTGTTCATGCGTTTTTATTTTACAAGCCTTGTGTTCAAAACTGAACGTTTCAGGGTTTTAATGTTAATATCTTTACAGAACATTCACTTATCAGTTGTTTTCAGTGCAAAATCATGTTAACAGGATTGACATTTTAGCATCATGCACTAAAATTACTTATTATAAAAAAAAACTGTCACCTCTCACCTCTCATCATGCCACCAGTATTAAGCTTTCAGACATGAAAATGTTGACTTTCTGTATTACTCTGCACAGTTAGTATTTATAACCTTTATAAATTAAATTAAATGATGCAGAGAAGTCTCAGCACAAAACCACCCATTTAATCTGCCCTGTTATCTTGCTTCATTAAGTATACTGAAAAAAACACACACAAAAAACTAATAGTAGCTTAAGGTATTACTACTGTTATGACACAGGCAGCTGATAAGGAATGGGAAAGCAGGCCCAGCTGTTGCATCAGCGCATACAAATCTCGCTGATAACCCTTTCTGGGAGGTTGCTACAAGTCGGTCGATCACAGATTCTCGGTGTGCAACATGTAACGGCAGGCATTTTCCACTCTTCCTCAATCTCACTCGCTGCTCCTGCTTGATTTACTTTTCCATCCCTTGAGCTTCTGCTTAAAAAAAAATCATAATTTGCCAAAGCCTTTTGTACCCGGCCCACACTCCAGTAATCTATCAGGAGTGACAGGCTCTCAGAACGCCCCCGATGGCTCTACCCACCGCTGTAAACCAGATGTTATCACTAAATCAGTACCCACAAAGACAGGTGTGAGACTGCATGCGAGCGGGAGAGAAAAAGGTCAGGGATGTAAGGGAATAAAACAAATTATATTAAGTGTGGTAAAATTGCACAACAGTTTTATTACACGGTCCACCTGACTGTTCTCACAATCACTTGCCGTGACTCAAGCAAGCTGATGAAATGAGGAAGAGGTTTTGTGATGCAGACAATGGGCGGCTATGAAAAGATGAGCAGTGAGGGAGCAACAGAGGAGCTTGACCCATTCTAGGGCGCTGTGTCAACATGCCCTGGATAGGGCGGGCATTCCTGAGTGGCAGCTCACAGTGTTGTCGTGACAAACTGGAGTTTTACGCTGGCCAAAATGAAGTGCTGTAGAGGGTGATAGCGTACCCTCTCAGACACTGGGTAAATATATCTCAACTGGGTGTGTACACATAGCGCGACTGAGAGTGATAAAGAGAAAGTCTAGATTCAGCACAACTGTCATTCCAGCAGTGCTGCACCCTTAAAGGTCAAAGGTCATCTCCTGGCAGCCCTCCAATCAGAGAGGCCTACAGTGAACCTCTGATGAAAGGACCGGTTATATTAGAACATACACTCCTAATGAGCTCAAAAGCATGAAATGCACCATGTGGCCCATGTCGTGATGTAGCATATGCATTTCAGTTTTACATTTACAGAATGGTCTTCTCCTAGAGGTCAGAAAGTCAACCCAACTGTAGATCATTGCACTACTTTGACAGCAGCGCCACCAGGTGGTCAACTAAAACATCACAAAAGCCTTGAAGCTCCTGAAGGGACACTCTCCTGCTTCCAGGGGCAGACTTAACCATTAGGCAAAGGTAGGCGACCGCCTTGGGCCCCCAAAAGCCAAGGGCCCCCTAAAATGCTTTTCATATAGGATATACGCATTAAGCGCGGACACGCGAACGTTTGCTGTTTACAGTGTTTATTACCACGACAACCGTCCGAGTCAGTGGCGCCTGCAGGTGTACGGCTGTACGCACTGTGAGTACCATGAGCGCTCAGACTGACCTCAGATTTGCCCCGTAAACATTTCAGCAGTTATTATAGGCCTGTGTGTGTCCCGTATTTCTGTCGACTGAACCCATGCCGTTAATTATGAATTTATCAGTCTTTTGCATGCCAAAGTCAATTTCTGCATAGAAATATTACGCAGGTTGATCTAGGAAAATGTGTGCAAATGTATAGGGCCCCATTCCTACATTTTGCCTGGGGCCCCCAATTCACTAAATCCGCCCCTGCCTGCTTCAATACTAATTAAACACACTTTAACCAGCTAATCAAGGTCTTCGGGATTGCAGGCGTGTTGGGGCAAATTGGAGCTAAACTCTGCAGGACAATAGTCCTCCAAAAGCAGGACTAGACTCCCCGACTAAAGTAAACTACAGCGATCCAAGAAGCATTTAGAGACTTACGCTTTGTGTTTGCATTGAATTTAAGGACATTCAGATATCATTCAGATATCTAAAACACCTAAATCAGTGTTCCTCTGTTGTGCTCCTGAAGGTCCACCATCCTGCAGAGCTTAAATCCAGCTCTGATCAAACACCTGCCTGTAATTGACAAGTAATCCTGAAGATCTTTAGTAGCTTGTTTGGGTATTTTTGATCAGGGTTGGAGCTAAACATCATCACACCTTCTGAAAATGAAAGGGATTACTGTATGGAATGGAAGGAGGCCAGATGGAAGTGTAGTCTGAGATATATGCCACCACCGCTGATAAATACAAATTATTCACAATTTATTTGGTCATCTCTATTTATGGTGGGACTATGGGTGTCATCAATGCATCCAACCACACTGGAAATCCTGAAGGAAATTCTAATTATTGGGTTACTTCCAGAGGTGGCAGCAGGATGTTATCAAGTGAACGTCATTTATCAGATTAGCCTCATTTAAACCGATTTCTACAACACTGACCTGCAGTCCTGTGGAACTCCTCTTTGATGGATTTGAGCCCAGGAAACAACACAAAATGATTAAAAAAGACCGTGAGAGTTACGCACACTTTCCTTAATGCTCTGCATACAGCAGCCTGACTAATGTGCTCTGCATCTCCAATGTTTTACAGAAAACTACCATTTAAATATGGTTGCGTTTAAATAAATATGCATGTGAATGGAGATGCAATTTTTGTCACTTTGACGGTGTCTGCATGATGAAAATATGCGCACTGAATGACTGAATACATGCACTGCAAAAAACAAACAAACAAAAAAAGCTTTTCTTGCATAGAAGTCTTCTTGTTTCCAATCAAAATATCTGAAGATTCTTAATTAAATCAAGATGCATGAAATTATTTATTTAGCAAAAAAACACTGTGACAAATGTCTATATACACAAAAAGAGCTCAGAGGTTTGGCTAGATGTGCAGCACTCATCAATGCACTCTGCTTTACCAGGACACATGAACAACATCAAGATCAGGGCAACATCACAGATAACTGTCTCTCCCTATTCCAGCGTCACATGATCCACGCTCTGAGAACTCCAGGTAACGCCGAGTCTTCTCTCTCTGCGCAGGGCAGGTCTCAGGGTCTGTAAGAACACTCGCATGTGTGCACTACATGATGCAGTCGAGATGGATCAGTCCGATTCACTGCTGTACTCTTCAGCAGGCTCAAGGTCGTCTTCTCCTCCCTCGCGCTCTTCATCGCTCTCCTTATCCCAGTCCTTCATGGATGTGCCCATCATGAAATCATCCCTCAACACACTCCAGGACGGATTCTCCCCTTTCACTTCTACAGGCTGCTAATATCAGTCAAGAAAAGTCTCATAAATCCCACACTGTGATGTTAGGCCTATATTTGTACATTAATGAATTCAATAAGAGCCGTATGTAAACAGTGCCACCAAGTGGACACAATGAGTGAAATTAAGAAAAGTAAAAGAACAATGCATTTCTTGACCATAAAGCCTACATCATGATGCTCAAAACTCCTTTTACATCAACTGAATCTTAATATTAAATAATACATAATATTTAATAGCAGGTACAATATCTTTAATAGCAAATGCCAAGAACAACAGTGATTAAGGACATGATTTCTGATGATCTCTGAGACCATTTTAGACGACAGGGAGAGCAAGTAATTTTAATAAATCATTTGATTAACAATGCTGTTATTTTGAAATTAACAAGAAATGGCATTCGCCCAAAATTTGACTCATGTTATGTGTATTGCTGACTGAGTCGAAAAGAATTATTATGCACACTGATTAAATGCACGCAATAAGGTAAATAGCAGAGTTTAGCGTTACTTATAAACTACTATATTAATTCATATTTTGAATTAGTTTCACATTTTTAAGTTTTAGTAATTTTGTTATGCACTTTCATCATTTTTATTAGTTTTAGATCTTTTTTTGACCTCTATTTAACATTATTTTTATTTTAGTCATTTTAAATCTACAGCTTAAATATTTTCAGTTAGTTGCCAAGGCAACATTTCTAATTTAAATTTCTCATTTTGTATTTAGATTTTTATTTGAATTCAATTAGCAAAATAATAATAATAATAAGTTGTTATAGTTAATAACAACACCGGTTAATAGAGTATATTTTGACCTCTATTTAACATTATTTTTATTTTAGTTTTAGTAATTTTAAATCTACAGCTTAAATATTTTCAGTTAGTTGCCAAGGCAACATTTCTAATTTAAATTTCTCATTTTGTATTTAGATTTTTATTTGAATTCAATTAGCAAAATAATAATAATAAGTTGTTATAGTTAATAACAACACCGGTTAATAGAGTATATTTTGACCTCTATTTAACATTATTTTTATTTTAGTTTTAGTAATTTTAAATCTACAGCTTAAATATTTTCAGTTAGTTGCCAAGGCAACATTTCTAATTTAAATTTCTCATTTTGTATTTAGATTTTTATTTGAATTCAATTAGCAAAATAATAATAATAAGTTGTTATAGTTAATAACAACACCGGTTAATAGAGTATATTTTGACCTCTATTTAACATTATTTTTATTTTAGTTTTAGTAATTTTAAATCTACAGCTTAAATATTTTCAGTTAGTTGCCAAGGCAACATTTCTAATTTAAATTTCTCATTTTGTATTTAGATTTTTATTTGAATTCAATTAGCAAAATAATAATAATAAGTTGTTATAGTTAATAACAACACCGGTTAATAGAGTATATTTTGACCTCTATTTAACATTATTTTTATTTTAGTTTTAGTAATTTTAAATCTACAGCTTAAATATTTTCAGTTAGTTGCCAAGGCAACATTTCTAATTTAAATTTCTCATTTTGTATTTAGATTTTTATTTGAATTCAATTAGCAAAATAATAATAATAAGTTGTTATAGTTAATAACAACACCGGTTAATAGAGTATATTTTGACCTCTATTTAACATTAATTTTATTTTAGTAATTTTAAATCTACAGCTTAAATATTTTCAGTTAGTTGCCAAGGCAACATTTCTAATTTAAATTTCTCATTTTGTATTTAGATTTTTATTTGAATTCAATTAGCAAAATAATAATAATAAGTTGTTATAGTTAATAACAACACCGGTTAATAGAGTATATTTTGACTTCATGTTGACTTAAAGCAAGAAAGCTGTGCCATGTGACGAGGAAAGATAGTAAGTGTATGGGAAAGAAAAGTCATCTCACCACTTTCTCTTTTTTGACGGCCGGTTTGTGAGCCACGTCTGCTCCTCTCAGGACATCAATGAAGTCCTTCTTAGTCACCGAGGACAGAATTCTGGATTTCTTTCTCTCTGAACCCCCAACTTCCTTTATCCTCTCATCCACGTTCTTCTGATGCTTCTTCACAGCGTTGAACAACTGCACCACACCTCTACAGATATCATACAACACATAATTATACTACAACAGACTGAAAAATGGAGCTCATCAATTGCTTGGCTAATTATATGGAGCAAAAGTGGACCGAAAGAGGTTCAGAATCAGAAAGAGCTTTATTGCCAAGTATGTTTGCACATACAAGGAATTTGTTATGGTGTCACAAGCTTCCAGTACACGGAGACAACAACAACACACAGATAATAAAAATAAGATGTGAATAAAATACACAGGTTTCACCTGGTAGCAATTTTCTGTAGGTTCCTCTCATGCTCTCGGTCTCGAACCACATTAGGCTTCTCTCGACACATATTCTCCCATGCTCGTTTCTTATCAGTCTGTCAATAAAATAAACGTATGTAAATGCATATAGGGGTTGGTCATTTAATGCCTGTTTAAATAAATTACTCCCTATTTCAACATTTTTTTTTTTTTTTTTTACAGAAAAACAGTACATAAATATGTTTTGCAATTCATTCCAGCCTTTATAAGCTTAATATTAAACATTTTACCACTTTACAACATAAAAAAGAAGCTGTTTAAAGAAATATTGAATTCTATGAGATCTGGAAAAGCTCAGCTGATGGTGCACCCGTTTCTTTTTCTCCAGACGCGCTTTCTTCTCCTTCTCTTTGATCTTGTCCAGCTCTTTGTTCTTCAGGAGGATGATGGGTTTGCTGTCTGGCGTTTTCTTCCCTAGGATTTTGGCCATGGCTTCGGCCCAGCCGGTGTTGGGATTTTCCGCAGCGTCTCCATTCTGTTCTTCCTCGCTCTTTCCATCCTCTTCACCGCTGTCTTCTACATCAGATCCCTCCTGGTCACTTCCTGGTCCACTCTCTCCATCATTACTGATGCTGTCATCAGAAACTCCAAACTCTTCCTCTGATCATCCATAGCACACATGAAATATATTTCATACACAGATATTACATCACAATTTATGTTCTTTTCAAGCACCTTCTCCTTCATTTTAAAAGTGACCATATGTTAGACACTACTAGTGAAATGTTAAAAACAATTGCCTTAATTTGTTTCTCCTTGTCTTAAGAATGTCTTGATCTAAAGACTTGACTGCTTGAAATCTGCTTGTGTATGTAAAATGGGCCAATATATGTACTGCATGCAAAAAGAATGTAAATATATTTAGCCCAAACAGTTAGAATTTCAATTTACATGTTGTTTGTACGATAAAGTTGGAAGGACCCTAAAGTATCAATTCTAATGTCATCGATAAAAAATAACCGAGATATAACGTTACCCAAGCGTAATATTTTTAACAAAGTCAGAGAAATGTCAAAATAAATCACTAATGATTGCAAAGAGAACGACTATGTATTCGGGTTTACATTTCTAGTGTAAAAACGAGAGTAAGTTGGATTTACTGTAATATCTCTCTGCCCTGTGTGGCAGTTGAACACAGTTTAAATTAAGAAATCAGTAATCGTTTTATTAACGATTAATAATACGCCTCCTGGCATAATGACATGCTATATGCGCTGCATCATAATTTGCCAGTAAACCAGTTAGATTCCTCACCATTTCCCTCTTCAACAACGACATGTGGCTTCTTCACGAGCGTCGCCATCTTTACTGATATTTACGAGTACTTTCTAAACAGTCCGTGCGAAACAAGAGGCGCTCGGGAAAGGTTCCGCAGCTGTTTGGTTTCGATGTATTCGCCTTGTCCTGTACCAAATAATGCCTCACAAACACCCACGGAGAGAAAGACAAAGGCGATGATGCAAAGAAAAACTCCCTAATAAGATGAGGACTTGAGAGGAACAAGGAATCAAGGCTCTGGGAATCACACATTTAATCAAATAAAAACATATAGGCCTATATTCATACAAAACTGGCTAGGGTCTAAAATGAACAATTGCAAATCAACATGCAATTAATAATAATAAAAAAAGTTGTTGAATACATACTACTACTACTACTACTACTACTACTACTAATAATAATAATAATAATAATAACTAAAAAAAAAAAACACATTACTTATGAACAACATTCATGTGTGGCATGACATAAATTAATTTCATTCTATTTGTGCTATGATACCCTTTAACACTAAAAGTAACACTTGAGGTGTTGAATGACCTGACAAAAAGAGTGAAGAGGAATGTGTCATGTGATTGTGTGATTGTAATGATAAGAAATAGCCAGGCTCTTTGAGGAACTATGTGGAGAAACAGCGGAAAGATCTGTGCAGGTGCACAGAGAAAATGTGAACACACACACACACACACAGAGAGAGAGAGAGAGAGAGAGAGAGCTGCTGCCTCAGCTGCAGAGGTGCACTGAAGAAGAGAGCCGACTGACATCTTCACACTCAAGTGGAAGGACTTTACCTGTTTGCCCGGGTCACCATGGTGCCATCACAGCAGAGTAAGACAAAACCTGATCAACAACGATGAAAAATAGACATAAAACTAAGAAGTTAAAGCTGTATTTAAAGACTGTTTAAATGCATGTGTTAAGGCACATATGCATGGCATGCTGACGTGTTATCTGCAGTTGTTTGCCTTTGCCATTGTTCATTTCTGAAATAGGCAAGTAGTTAACATGAAATTAAAATAGTGATACACTCACACTATTTTAATTTCATGTTAACTACTTAAGCCTATTTCAGAAATGAACAATGGCAAAAAACTGAATTTTGTTACTTCTTATCAATTGAGAATATATGGGCTATTATGTAAATATATAAATCTTGGTGCTGATAAAAACCCATATTGGACATGTTAAATGCAACCTATATGTCCCATACCCTTCTACAGGTAGAAAATGTAAGACGTTTGAAAAACTAGGTGCAACAGTTTTTTTCTGTGCAATTCTGATTTACATCAAAAATAAACTGAACTGATATTCATTGTATGTTCTGTATAACTGATTGCACATAATTAGTATGGAAGAAGATGCTGTTACTTCAGTTCCTCTTCAGGAACTCGAGCTGCGTCGGAAAACGCTAGGGGAACACCTTCTGTGACCATGCTCTGAATAACATGTGAAATCAGTCCAATAGCTGAGCGGGACGTCACGGGCGGGTGACGTCATGAC